AATGGTGTTAACCAGACCGTTAACGCACGGCTAATACATGCAAAATACACGGAAAACATACGGTTAACACATGAGAAACGGCTCGTATTCCGTTATTCACCGCCGTTTTCCAGTGACTTAACATCTCGTTTTTGGTGTTTTCTGGTGTTTTCAAGTAGCAAACAAAGCATTCACAGACGTTTTCCGTCATTCTGCGTGAGTTTTATCGTGTTTTCTGGGGCAGCGAACAACTAGAAAATGCCGGGGAAACAGCGTGTTCACAAACGTTACCCATTGGTTAATTAATGAGATGTTTTCCATCGTTTCAAAACGTTTTTCTCCAGGAAAACGCACCGTTTTCACTATTCGAGTGCGCTTATTTTCGCACAATTTCTACGTTTCCAGTGTGATTTTATACGGAGAGTGTAACTTAGTCCTTTATTCACTGGTGTTTTCGTTCGAAATTTAACAGTCGTTGTTGTAGTTTTGAACTCTTTTTGAACTTCTGAACTCTTTTATTAGCAGCACAATTACTTATACAAAGTGCAATACAGAGTGCCTCTAATTGATTATGACCACTCCACAGCAAACACATTTAAAACTACCATTTGTAAAAATGCATGCAATCATAGATAGGATATTCACAAAATTTGGTGTTATCGAGTGAATATGGTCGGTACAAGTGAGAAAACTCTTGACAATATGTCTACTGATAACCAACTGACCCAAATAAGAACGGTCAGGAGATATCGATGCTAACTTACGAAACGAGTAAGGCATGTACAGATTAATTTCAGCCAACATTCCACTCACATACAAATTGTTTTCTGTAGTAAAGTTTCTATTTATACTCAAAATTCTATTCAATACGAGCACACATTGACTTTAATACAATACTGTTTCAAAGTTCAAAATGAAGTTGATCCACTCCTCAGTTAAGTCCATGTGTGCTCGCGTTGAGTGGAATTTTGAGTATATTTCTTTTAAGGGTGAGCCCCCCCCTCGGTTTGCTGGTGAAAATCACCTAGAACATATTTAAATATATGTCGACCAGTGGAACACCAAATGCAATAGCCCACTGTGAGTAGTTTTATCTGACGTACTAACTACACACAAAGTATGAGGAAAGGTTTTGTTTGACCATTTCCAATTTTGCTCAATCCTTAGCGACATTCGTTCTTAAGTTCTTATGTCTGAATGGCTAAAGAGACTGAAGCAAAACGCAAAAGTTTAAACTGTTGTGATACTTACATGTCCATCATAATTTCGTTTAAAATGATCCCATCTGCTAGATCTGTTACTGACTCGAAGGCACTTTTTTTGAAGGTGTTTGCCTGTAGTGATGAAAAAATGATTAGTGAAATACAGTACAGCCGTGAGGTCGCGCGTTTACAGCTCATCAACAGTGTATGCAAACAGTGGTCAACTGTATTGCGAACACAATGCGATCAAAGCAAGAATCTTACCCAAAGCACGAGCGGTCTTTGTAGAAATCCTTCTGTAGAGGCCATTGTTCTTTAATCACTCTGCAGTGAAACTAGCACAAATTATTTTCACTCTAATGTACAACAACGCAAACAAAATCAGGAATCGGCATCTCGTTTATTAGATAGCAAAACTACAGCAAAGCAGGCGGCATAACCCCGGCATAACCAACAGTGTAATCAGTGAATAACCTAAAATTACAAATAAATCACTTACAATTCATAGCAGCAAAACTAGCACTATCAGAATAATCCTATAACGGACTTACCGTAATAAAATAAATTACAACTGCAACACTGCACACCGGCTGAACAGAGGTATGTGTAAAAATCAGGCTATCGAGAAAGTATCTGAAACAGGCCAAACAAACGACCTGATAACAAAAAAGGAACGAAAATAAGCACAAACTAGAGAATATCAAGAAAGGAGTAAAGCACAAAGCGGACATGAGCAAAAACCAAATAAGAAAAATAAAGCGAAACGTACAAGTTGCTGAGAGAGATGCCGTCGAGTGACCTTGTCCTTTAACGTACGCCTTATATATGGCAACACAAATAACAGCATGCAGAAGCATGCGATGATGTAACATCGAAGTGCCAAACTGCAAACACCGCGTACGCGTGAATTCCCAAACGCTGAGGGACTTGTCAGAAATTAGGAGGGGGGGGGGGATGGGAATTTTAAATTTGGGTTCGGAAATGAGGTGACCGATTCCTGCAATGGGAGTGAAATTTGCTAACGCTCCCCTTGAGCTTGGCCTAAAACATCATGATCCTCCCCCTCTTGTATAAATAATAAAATATATTTCTTGCAATACACTAGGGTGAGTCAGTATTATGCAAACTCAAAATATATTTCTAATCTGTTCTTTGTAATGCCATATATATACATTTTAGATGACAGCATTAACAACAACAACAATAAGCTTTATTTGCATGACCATAACAAAGTATTACAGTATTGCAAAAGCTACTTGAAATTAATCATTGATTCCTTGTAAATTAAATATTTAAAATAATTTCAAACTTATTGATCATTGTTTATTTCTAACCATCAGTAGGATTAATTATTCCGGAGATAAGTTTGTCTCTCAATTCAAAGCAAGGTGATATAAATGAAATTAATTGGATGTTAATAAAATAGTCAGTAGAATTCATCTGATGTGATAATAAGGACTCATGTGATTGTAGTCGTAGAAACGGTTTTTTAGGTTCTAGTTTAGAGAAGAACGTATTTCTTATCGAAGAAAAACTTGGACAATCTAATAAAAAGTGAGTTTCATCTTCAATTCTGTTACAATTGCAGAGATTGCATAATCTTTCGTCACGTGGTATATTGTCGTTAGGGTTAGGGTTAGGGTTTGTGAATGTTGAAGGGTATGATTCCAGTAAGTGATATATTTCTTTTGCATAAGATCTACATATTGCTTAATTTTACATTTATTCAGTAAATTACAATTAAAGCCTGGGAAATCATAGTAGTCAGTCATTTTCTTAAGACTGAAGTAAAAACTATTTTGACCACTATGATAAAGGTCAACAGATATTTTTAAAGATTGTTTAACTAAAGAATTTTCATCTTTTTCTTGGAGATAGTTTAAGTAATTAAGTATCTTGTTATTTATATCAATGATCAGAGGGAATCTGCCAAGTTCAGATCTGCATGCAACATTGGATGACTTGTTATGGACTTCTAAATATCGTTTACAGAAGTGTAATTGAGTATTTTCGATTCCGGAGTTATCCCATGACTTAAAATCTGATTTCACAAAGGCACCCCAAACTTCACTATTGTAAGTTAAAATCGGTGAGATCATTGTGTCAAAAATTTTATTTGCAAGGGAAGGTTTCAGTTTACTAAAATCAGTGTGGCGTCTTAGACTAAATAGAGCGCTTAAGCGCTTAGCACTGAAAAGTATAAGCGCTATATAAATATTTCATTATTATTTTATTATTATGAAGGGCTTTTTGTCGAAGATGTTCAAGTGAGAGTGTAAAATTTCCGGGAGACGAGATGCGAGTCCCTAAGTAAGTATAGTCTTTTACAATGTCTACCATTTCATTGCCTATGTGAAAAACATAATCGCATTTTTTTGTGCCTTTTTGGAAAACCCATTATCTTAAATCTATAAAGAAAACATTATGTACAGTATGTGGTCCATGGTCCACGACTTTTTAGATTAGCGGATTTCACTGCGCTGATATAAGTGATCCTTGCGCCTTTCGAATTTTGACAAATTTATAAACGTCTGTTCGCATAGCCCCCCACGCAGACATTCTAACGGCTTCATCATTAGTTCCATCTTGGGGAAGAACGACTGCTCCGCGAGGAATTGATTCGTCGCTTTGCGGATAAGAGGTTCCTGGATATCGCGGAGTCTGAAAAACCCTTTTTGACACGTGTTATACTACGGTTTCCAAACGAGCAGTCATAATGAATGACCTTCTCGTGGAGCTAAAAGATTTATACAAAGGACTGGTCATTATCTCTTAACGGTCGGTTAGAACTTTGGGTTCGATACTTTTAAGACAAAATCCGGTTTCAGGAAATTCAGTAACTTTGTTTTTCAGTAGACAAAAACCCGGAATGGTTTAAATTATTCTGGTACATTGTGTACAAGGTTTTTGTCCACTCAAAATTAAAATTACTCAGTTTTCTGATGTATTCTGTCTTAACGCGTGCAATACGTAGCGCTTATATTAAAAGCATTAGAGGGGCTAATTAACAATTATTCCTCGAGCACGAATGGGCTGTGAGTCAATAGGCCATGAGGCCGAAGGCCGAATGGGCTATTGACTCAGAGGCCATGAGGGCGAGAGGAATAATTGTTTTAGTATTATCCAACAATAATGGTAAAAAAGATCGAGAGTAAAAAAAATTTAGGTAGTTAAAGCTAGACTTTAATCCTTTTTTGCCGCCAAAAAGCCCTCGCTTTTCGCTACTAGGGGGCTATAACATATAACCCAGTAGTAGCCCAACCAATCAGAACGCAGCATTCATAATAGACCACTAGTTGGATTTTACTAAAAAACAATATTGTAATGTCCTGATTTCTGAAAGTTCAAACCAATTTTCTTTTACTTTCGAAGTTAGAAACTAGAGTATTATGGAACATAAGTGCTTTTTTTTGCGTGTAGTTTTTATTTTGTAAAATTCAGTATTTTTAACATATGATAACACGAGCTTCTAAACTGAGTCAGTTGAGTTTTCTTGAAAAAGGAAATAAAAGGATTAAGCATTTGCAGTTTCATATACTAACACCATCCCTAACCCTCACCAAGAATTGCTCTCAAATCCAACACACAAGATATACTAAAAGTGAATGATGACGAAGTAGCAATTTTAGCGTATTGATCTTTTGCCCTAGTCTGATTTTTTTTTTTCAGATTTTTTCACAAGACTGAACTGACTCGTCCTTGGGGTTTAAATAATCGGTATCTGTGTTTTGTTGGCGCGCGGCCCGTTTCCCGCGTAACCAGCGTCATGAATGGGGACTTGCCATTTCCATGACAACGGCGATTTTCTTGAGCAGCTGACAAACGTTTAAACACTACAGCCACGACAACAAAAGAGCAGCAAAAACTGCGCTAAAATCATGTCCTCAGGTGGACTTAAATCAATTTCGGAGTCCCCGATTGACAGTTTAAGAGATAGTGATCAATATAGCCTCAAGGTTAGGCGCAACTCGGGTCGAACCGATCGAAAGCGGATGAAAATAAACGTTTAGCAACGACACTACCTAAAATTTGTTTTCCTTCAGGGAGATGTGCTTTTAGAAGAAAGCGAAGACGAAGGAGCTATGCCGATTGAAAGCATCGGAGGTTTCTTCATAAAACACGGTACTTTTATTGGAACGGAAACCGATCCAGTAATTTCTCATGGTGTTGATGTTAGCGATAGCGATTACGATACTGATCTTGAAACGGAAGGTGCGTGATGTTTAGATTTTGCTTCTTTATATTTAAATTACTCCAAATTTTAAATTAACAGTAAACGAGCAGTCATTTTTGCACAAGAGCAGAAATTTTATGGGTGCTCAGCTCTGTATACAAATTTTAAATTACATATATATAAGCCGAAAACGCACTTAAAAACGTTTTAAACATAACCCTAATGTCTTTCTTAATTAAGCATAAAATCAAAACTCGATTATTTTTTTCGCGTAGTCATATTTCTTTTATTACAAAAAGTAAACAAATTTTTAACCAAACGCTTAACTGTGTATTAAAATTTCCTCCATTTAAAAATATCAGTGAAGAAAATAGAAAGTGATAGTTTTCAGAACAACGTTGATGAAATTGTTTTGAATTTGTATCGACTCCCAGTGATTATAGGTACTTTTTCATTGTCTGCTTCCATTTTAATTAAATTTACAGAAAAAAGGTTCATACTTATATAAATTTTTGAAAACAAATTGTCCGTTTATCTTAAAAAGTAAGAACATAGAAGAAAGAGACGATGAAAAGAAAAAATTATTTTTACATGCGTTTTCTTTTTAAGAGCTTTTAAACTTATCACTCAATATCAATAAAGTATACTTAACAATACTACAGAAAAAAAGGGACAATACATGGTAGGAGTCCATCAAAGAATTCGTCAGATGAAGTTTGATATGAACTGTAAATGTTGAACCATGCATGTAACTACGAAACCATGATGCCTAACAGGAAGTTGAAACACAGGTCTTAAGGCTGATTTAGCAACAGAACGGGAACGTCAGTTGAAGAAGGCGCGCGCAAATCAAACACCTGGCTTGACCAATGGCTGAGCGACTGGCTGAGCAGAAAACTGGGCACCGGAGGTAGAGTTTAGTCCTTTTCGCGCGCTTTGCCATCGTCAAATGACGTTCCCATTCTGTTGCTAAATCAGCCTAATATCGTATCGAGAGTTCTTATCGACGAAGCCGAAGCTTTTAGCTTCGTCGACAAGAGATCTAACTACGAAAAGAGGACGGATCTGGTTCCACTTTCCTTCTAGAAAAGACTGATGCTCAGGCCATGAGTTTGTGACACGACTGTGTTTCATTTCCAGAAAAAGCTGAAAAGTATGACGCAACTGGAAGGAAATTGTACATGGCAGCGTGTAAATGTTTGAACATAACACCTGTTTCGTTCTTCCTGAGGAACATACAAGAAAAGAAACTCAACTTTAAACACCGCTTATTGGGGCCGAAAGGCGGAAGGGCGATCGCTGCTGCTCTAGAGGTATAACCGTCACCCAACGTCTTTTGCTTCACTTGCTTTCGATAGACCAACAATGCAATTGTTACTTTTTCGCTTGTTATCAATTCTCCGGCGTGGCCTGCCAGGCATGGTCTCCTACAGAGCCACTTAGGGTATGAGCACCAGCCGGATCATTCTCTGCAGTTCGATAATTTATAATCGCCTCTGCGCTTTCTCAGCATTAAAAATGTTAAAGGCCCTGCAGTCCCGCTTTACGTCATCGAGAAAGTGAACGCGGAGGTATTGTTGCTAAACAGGTCCTCACTTGCAACTTTCGGATCAAGAAAGGCGAGGTCTAACTTCAGCATGCTGCCATATCTTGATGTCTTTTCGTTCTTCTGTGTTTTTTGAAAAAGAAACTAGAATCTGTGCTGCAGAAGGTTACAGTTTGTCTTCAAATAGTTTGCTCTCTAGTCCTCATAAACGCTAGGTTTGAGCATCATTTGCACTAGATGTTAAATTCTTTTAATCGTTTTCATTTGTCTACCATGTGCTTAATTTTCTAACAGTTCCTCTTCAATTTTAGCAAAATACGACCCTGACAAGTCTGAATTTGCATGATAATTACTTAGAAGGGGACGGTGGGGCGGCTATTGCTGCTATGCTCAAGGAAAACTGCTACATCACAGAACTGGTAGGTGGCAAATCCCTGTTTAGCCTGTGAACAAGCTTCTAAAAGGCGAGGATACAATGCGCCACACTTAGCATGTTCATCAGAACCTTATCTTTTCGTACCCGTTTCCTTCACCATACCCCTTGTAGAAGGCCTAAATGTAATAAACGACCCTTAATGTAATTAAGTCCTAAATGTAATAACATTTTGTCCTAAATGTAATAACAATTTGCCCTAAATGTCATAAACTCTTAAGTTGCCAATTACAGTAATTACTCGAATAAGTGCCGCCCTCAAATAAGCGCCGCATTTTTGGAGAAAAATTACGCTAATTCGCGTAAATTCGGTACATTTCCTTATGCACTGTGAAACTTAACGTTTACAAATAAATTGCTTGTAAACGACAACTGGAAAAAATGTTTTCCTGTGTTTGTGAGCCTGATATAAACACTCGAGGGGTTGGGAGAATTCGAGACAGTTATGCAAACCCTCGACTTCGTCTCGGGTTTGCATAACTGTCAAGAATTCTCCCAGCCCCTCGAGTGTTTATATCAAGCTACGCAAACACAAGAAAAAAGTTTTCTATTGCTTTTATAAAATCACTTTCCCGAGAAAAGAGAAAAACTCTTTGTTTAGGTTACTGATTAAAAGAGAAATTCTTACCAGTCGCGAAGTCTTGTACACGAAGCTTAATGTAATCAGTTCTTGTTTTGCAATAAAGATGCTTTCCAAAAAAGGGTTTTTCTCGCTTAAAATGTCAGCTTAAGCGAAAAAAAATTGACACAGCATGTTTGTAAAGATTTTACAAGTTTCATCCGACTAGGGAATGGATAAATAAAGTAAATTTGTCGATTTTTCAACTCAAAACATTTTAAAATTCGGGCTTGTATGATTAGCGCGCGAAGAGCAAAACATCTTGACTCCACACATGTTTACATTCTCTCATGCAAACACATCTCTCGGCCAATTAGAGCATGCAGGCGCGTACTATCTTAGTTATTTATAAACGTTGTTATCAGCTGTGCAGTAGTCTTTAGGGCCTGTTTACATGGAGGTGGGGGACCCCAGATAGGTGAGGTAACATGCGGCGGGTCACCCCACCTATCACGTAAACGTGATCAAATTAAAATGAGAGATTATGTGGACAGGCGGGTTACACACCAAAGCGGGTTACCTCACCTACCTGGGGTCCCCCACCTCCATGTAAGCAGGCCCTTAGACTTCTCGTTTTTTGTTCTTAATATTTTAGCTCTGATTAGATCTCTTTTCTAGAGATCCAACGTTGACAAGCAACAGGTTCTTGGTCCACGGTTTTTGTCAGTAGTAAATTTCTTTTGACAAAAATGAAGTATGAAAAACTTTTTAAGGCTTACAAGTTTTTTGTTTTGTTTTGTCCCTTTACAAGCTATTTATTTGTAAACGTCAAGTTACACAGTGCATAAGGAAATGTACCGAAGCTTATTAAATTTTTTTCTCCAAACATGCGGCGCTTAAAACCATAGTAATACCTCTTAGTACCGTGTTTACCGGAATAAGCACCGCGTCGCTTATTAAATCCCCCAAATGCGGTGCTTATTTGAGGACGGCGCTTATTTGAGTAATTACTGTAATTTGCAACTTAAGAGTTTATTACATTTAGGCCTTCTACACCCCTCATGTGAGCATGGGTTCCCAAATGTGGTGAGCTTTGGTTGTCAGACAATCACTTGTTTTGAAATACTATTATTCCTGGGGAGGATTGAGGAAAACGCTTTTTATCCAGTGAATTCATTTATCCTAAAGGCCCTTTCTGTTATAGTTTTTTTTTAAGACAGTTTGTATCCGTTTTCCATGCATATTGTTTCATTATATTCTATTTAATACTTACTGCGGTTTATCTTTTATGAAGGATGTTTCTTCAAATCATCTTGGTGCTCGTGGCTGCCAGTGGATGTGTGATATGCTACAAAACAACGTCACCTTACTTAAGATAAACCTGTCGGACAACGACTTTAATGACAAGGATACAGTTTTTCTACTGGACGCCTTAAAGGTACAAAACAGCGTAATAGACTGATTTGCATATTTACGTCAAACGGCAAACGTTAATCATTTGTATGTGCGGACCAAGTTTTCCCTTTACTTCAGTGTCCTCTTTAGTTTTTATCTGCTCATTTTTTTTTTAGAGTTTCTCAAACTGAATCTGAATTTAAACGTTTGATATAAACGTGACTGTGTTTCGGCTACTTTACGGCTGAAAATGATAATACTTACACTAAACTTGCCAGCTACAGCTGGTTATATGTGATGAGGTAGGTTAATAGGTTATTTTGTCTTTGATCTCGTTTTGTCTGGAAAGTCTGAAATATATAAGAGTTTGGATTATCCCGTTATAATTTCAGTAACACTATCATTTTGTTTCTTTCCTGAAGGGAAATGATAAACTAACCTGGATGAACCTTAGCTGTAACAAGTTCTCAGAGAAATCAGGGGATAATCTTGGTCTAGGAATAAGTAAGTTATAAGTATAACTTGATATCAAATGCTGCATACTATGACCTTGAATAAAGCTTGACTTTTGAACTGGCCATGGCTTCAGAATTTAGTCATTATATCTTCTCGGCATTGGTAATGGTTCAGTTCTACTGTTTAATAAGTTAGTAACTTAGAATAACTAGCTTCATACACAACGTATTCCTTACAAACAGTAAACTTTTGGGACGAGTAGGTCAAAATAACTGCTAGGAGCGGGAATATCAAAAAGTCTTGAGAGGGCGAGGCGATGTGATGTCATATTATTGTATCATGCTTGACTATAGACAATGGCTACCTTCAGTATGTGGGCTGAAATTGTTATTTTCTTCTGACTATATTATTTCAGTATGGTGAATATAAATATAAGAAAAAAAGCACCTTAAGAAGAGTTTAAAATATCATCAGCGATACCATTATCATTACCGTTATTCTAACTTTTTCATATACAGGCTCCAACGATTCTTTAGAGCACCTGGATTTAAGTTGGAATCACATTCGACGCCACGGTGCTATTGAAATTGCAAATGGTTTACGGGTAAGTAAAGAAGATCAGAACAGCCTTCTTTTTACATGGCCAGGCGTTAAGACATACATGTACACGTTTGTGTTGGCCAGCGGTGCGGGGCTATGTCACGCTCGGAACCAAGTGAATAGAGAGCTTTAGATTCTGAGACGAGGACGACTACGAGCATGATGTTTTCTCAGTACTGAGTATTGCTCACGCGTGAACCAAGCGTCATTTGGGAGGGAAAAATGTGATAACCATCGTCATTCTACTACGAGTTTTAGTGAGAATGTCGTAGTGGCGAGAACAAGTTATCAAATCTAAAAAGATTTTTCATTTTGCTTTGGGGAGAGGGTTTAATCTCCTTCAGCATATTTAACTGTACTAAGTTTTTTGGTGAAAGAAAGTAAAATGAGCTTTCCGGGGTTTATTTATTTTTAGAACACGCGCGAAAACTTCAAGTTAAACCTCGTATTCGTTCTCGTTCTTAAATCTAAAGCTCTCTAATGATTCAAGCCTCGGCTGTCAGCATTAATAGTGGTGTTTTCCACAGAAAGAAACATTGGATAAGGGTTAGTTTAGTTAGTATCTGATGACTGCAGGAAAGAAAGCAAGATCTTCGAAACGTAGGCTGACATGAAGTAAGGTCCTGAAGCAACTTCTTTCTTAAACAAGTTACCACAATATACTGAGGCCTCTTACGGCGTTCTTACACGTTTCAGTATTACCTCAAGAAGCTTGGCTATAAAAAGAAATGAGCCCAAAGTGATCCAGGTTTTCCCTAGGTTAACTGAATCTAACTTACACTAAAGATAGTCATAAGTATTGCAGGTTATCTGGTTTTTGTTTCTCTCTTTCAGACGAACTGTACTCTTAAGACATTCAATCTGTCCTACAACGGATTTTCCAATGATGGAGCTGTCGCTTTGGGGGAGGCTGTTCGAGCGAATAATACACTCCTTGAATTAGATATCAGGTTTGGCTACCACAAGACACTTTAGGATAATAGAAACTTACCAGACCCTTTGATCACCAGTTGCATATACTAACGTTTTTCCGTAATGACCACAATGAAGTCAAATGACACTTTTATATACGTTGGGTACTTGGACCAACTTTTCAGCAAACGCGCAACACCTGTGAAGTATATGTCTGTATTTTGTTCTTGAACCACCCCTTAAGAATAATCGGAAACGAAAAAAGCGTACTTTCAGAATATAGACGCATCTGAACTTATGGAGTAGAAGCACCTATTTTATTAACAGGTCATTTGTGACTATTAACTCCCTATTTCTTTTTAGCAATAACAGAATTACAACGCAGGGTGCGATGTGCATCGCTAAAGGTCTTGAAGGAAATAACACCCTCGAAATACTAAAGGTAGCAGATTGTCCTTGTAAAAGCAAGCTTATAGTTCTACTTGCAGTTAAGGGAAATAGTAATTTTCGTAGCTAACTTAGCTGTGATTTAAAATAGATAAACGTTGAATAATTCAAATTCCATGACATGTTTTACATTGCCGCATCATGTTATGCTTTACTATATGATCAAAGATGTCAAAGATTATTTCTTTTGTTCCACGAAATACCGGAGGCTTTTTTTAATAACCAAGAATGTAACATTCCCATTTGAGTCGGATGCAGAATGATATATAAATTGTGAAAGGTTTTTGAAATGGTATTGTCAGCAGTTCTCATTATAACTAAAGACTGAGCTATGAGGAAAGGTTCCAACTTAAGTATGAGCTTAAAAACAAGTTTATGCGTTAGTACCTTTTGTATTGTACTCTGATGACGTTAAATTAGACCATAGGAAGAGAGTATGAAGTTAGCTTCTATCTTGTAAACATTACGTTTTATCGCCTAGGTTGGAAGTAACCCCATCGGTACCGAAGGTGCAAAAGCTATTTTATCAGCAGCTAAGAACTTCGCCGACAGCGCCTTGACAGAATTGCACTTCAAGGTATTATTATTCTATGAACTATATTTCGCTCACATCGAATCCCCATACGTTCGGTTTTACTGAGCAAACCTTTGCAAGAATGAAAGACTACAATAAAAGTTATATCAAAATTCTATAAAAGTAATCACGTAGGAAAAGGTTAGTTTCTCGGGCTTTGAAGTCCAGAAAAGGAGAATATACAACTATTTGTCAGGTTTTCAATATTTTTGTTGTATCTGTTGTCTAATTTTTTTTTTTTTTGCCTTCAGATCCATCTGATCATATGACTTCTGTCTATTGTTTGTTCGATATGCATGAACTTGTATAATACGGCTTGAGGGAATATTAAAGGGGTTCTTTGCTACATATGGCACATATAATAATTCAACCTATTTACTCCTATCACCATAGGATATATACTTAGACGAATCCTTTGATCAGCTTCTGAAGGAAGTGCGTCAAGTGAAGCCTGACATTCAAATCAGAGCCAATCTTCGTCCAGGCGTGAAGGACCCTCTGAGTGTTGTAAAGAGCTTTGTATCAAACAATCAAGATCAATGGATGGAATTTTGTCAGGAGTATAATGACTGCAAAGGGGCAATGAAGATTTCAAGAACGGACTTTGTGAAGTGCCTAAAGGTACATAACAGTCTTTTCATATCAGCGTTCATGTAGAGATTGTTTCTTCTCACTTCGATTCGTCGGCACTTCCACGTTATAATGTTTGCTGTGATAAAAACCACGTACTTAGTATTAACAAAGTATTCATTGGCGGAACAGGCAGGAAAATATATGTCACATATATGCCGTCTTTATTAGTTTTCTTGGCACTCATACTTATATCGCTCTCATTCAAAAGCCACGCCCTACCCCTGTCCACAATTTCATTTCGTGAGGGCAATAAAGTGTTAGGCTCTGACAGAGGGATATATTGCAGCTCAAAGCAGAATTGCAGAAATCAAAACAGAAATCAAAAGTGACGCAATCTGATCTTCCTTCGACCTACGCTGGCTCTAAGACACACTTTCCTACAGTGCTTGGACTCCATGATTTTTATGTTTTATTTTTGCAGAGGGCGGATATTACATTCGGAATAGAACAAACAGCTCGTCTGCTGGCACGCCTTGATCCTAAGAAGGAAGGTTCTATCAACTACAAGTACGTAACTTTTGAGCTGATAAGTTAGTTTTCTCGCTCTGCAGTAATGCTAATCTGCAAATGTTAATAAAATGAAGGAGTTTGGTGTGTGGGTTAGGTAGATAGGTAATTATAACGGACTTGAAAGCCTCCCAATATCTTCTGAAAATGCTTACTACAGCAAAAGAGGTTTTAACCACGTAAAGACCACCAATTAACAATGCATTAATACAGTGTATCTTAGTGGTTTAATCACGTGTTCTGAGAAGCCGACAAGCAGAGCCTTGAGGGTCATTCGGAGTTGAATATACGCTTCTCCCCACTAGGAATTCAGATTTTTTTTTCTTTGTTCCTTGTCACGGGTTGATTCCCATCTATGTCGTTTTACTTCATTATTGTTATTTGCCTTATCAAGCAGTATATTGTCAATCAGGCCTGTTTCAAACGTCGTGCTACTGCCATGCTAACATGGCTCGACTGTAGCCGGACTGCAACACGACATTAGCACGACTTGGCGTCAGACGTCGAATTTAATTCACACAATGACAGTCAAAAGGATTGGCTGTTGCCAAAAACAAAACACAACAATAAAGAAACGGTTTAGCAAACGTTTAAATATATTCTAATGTATTTATAATTCATGAATTGAGTTCGGCACGGCGGTAGCACGACGTTTGAAACCAAGTCGAGCTACTCCCGTGTAGCACGGCGAGGCTTGCCCTGCTACACGGCAGTAGCACGACTTGGTTTCAAACGTCGCGCTACTGCCGTGCTAAAATCGAATTTAATTCGATCAATTGAGTTCGGCACGGCAGCAGCACGACGTTTGAAACGGGCCTCAGTTAATGAGACAGTTGTGTTTGTGATCTTGCAGAAGTAAGATGCTAGGTTATCAAGAATTACACTCAGAAGAACCAGAGAGCTAACGAAGATTGAAGCCAGCTAGAATTACTCAGCATTAAATAAAACAATTTTGTTGAATCTTATTTGAAACAGCCTAAATGCACGTAATTCAATGCTTTTAGCTTATGTCTTGGCTTCATTAAGAACTGCATTAAAACAATAGTTGCTAACTAACTAAAAGGAATTTTCCACCAATTAATGGAAGATGGTTTATTGTTCGAGCGCGTGATAACACTTCGACTATATAGATACGGTCAGTTTGGGTGTCCATAAGTACAAATCAGTAGCTACCAGTCTGACAGTCTGATCATCGCTTAGTGCGTGAGTCGAGTAATTGTCCTTTTTTCTGTCACAAAATTTGTTGTTTAGTGATTTTTTCTTAATAAACAAATAACCAGTTTCCACAGCCCAGTTTTGCCCGTTCGCTAGTAATGATGTTCTAAATAAACTAGTGAAAAGAACTGGCCGAGGAGACATTAATATTAGCCGGATCTGCCGGGTCCGGCACCTGATGTTAGCTGCTGTCTAAAACATTTCTTTCAGTCTTAGGCTGCTCCTTGGTTATCCGTCCCTAACCCCTCGTGAACAGACCGTCAACTGAGTCTTCTTGGTTCAAAAAAGGGACAATTGCATAGTTTTTCCTGCGGATTAAAAACAGAAACTGTATTTACAACCCGAAAGCCGAGTTTGGCTCTACAAGTTCACGCTTCCACCAAGAATCGATATGATGGTACACATGCTCAAAGCCGAGGAGGTTCAAATTGTATGCGGCGTGGCACGGAAAGTGCCTTAGGATCTTATTTCACGGCCACTTTAGACCGTGGCTAGACATTCAATTTTAAAGAACTGCAATCATTTTGGGATGAGATAAAGAATTCTGGATAATAATCGCTGGTTGAAGATATCGACAACTTCAATAGGTCCCACTTTTTAAAAAAAATAAATAATAATAAATGGACAATGTAAATAAATAAATAAATATCCTATGCCAATTTAGGCTCTACCATAACAGCAAAAGTGAACGGTCGAACAAATTTTCCTTTGACACTTTTCCTGTGTTATTTGCTGAATGTCTCTGGATATTCATTTTTCAACTACACTGAGGGGCATCACACTGTGATAATGATAAGAATACCCTTTAAAGGTTTTTTGCGAGTGCTTTACTTGCTAACTAAATTCAAACACATCACTGGGGAAGGAACTCTGTCAGCTAGTCCAACCAAAACATGTATTTTAAGGTCTACCGTCAAAAGTTCTCAAAAGTAGTTTCGATCCTTATTTTCCATATGTGATTGCAAGTAATTTAAACGGTTCCACAGGTCTATAGATTTAAGTTGAAATAAAGCAAGGATAACCAAAAAAAGGAAAAAAAAAAGACAAATAGATACACCGCTTTACACTGCATAAACAGATAAGATAATTCGTGAAGATTTCGACGAGCATGTGAAAATCCGAGCATATATTAAGTTCTCGAGTCCTCCATGTAATACATGTATGTTATTCACCGGCTGGGAGGTCCGTATTGGGAGAAACTGTGCACGAGGTCTTGAGTACCGCCCGAGACCGTAGGCCGAGGGCGGTACTCAGACCGAGGGCACATTTTCTCCCAATACGGACCGACCTAGACCGGTGAAGAACATTTTTATTTTTTTTCCAACGGAGATTTAAAAGTTTCAGGAAAATTTTACTTCAGCCTACAACCTATGTATGTTGAAGAAGGGCGCGTTGGTGTTGATGTTCAAAGCGCGCGATCGATTGCAAACCAAAACATTACAACATGATTTTTAAACTTTATTTATATTATCACAATTAAGCTCTCTTTTAGAATAAAGAAAGGTTTTTGTGTCTTGGTAGATAATTCATAATCTGAGTGTCAAACAAGGAGTGACGAACTTAGGAAACACAGGAAAGAAAATACAGCAAAGATTTTCTTCAGCTGAATATTTACATTAAGATTAAAATTCAATCGAGCGGGATAAAAACTGCACAAAGGCTTTATAAAAAGAGCTAATTACACATACCAACCTTAGGGTTTTGAAGTGAATTCGAATAAAAGAAGACGATGTGGGTAACTAAACAAGTATATAAACAAAAAAATGATATACAATTATTATATGGCTGAGTCTGTTTTCGCCATGCGATTGGTCAATTTGAGGTCCGTAACTTGCTATAAGGACCAAAATTTTTAAAGAAAATGCTCATTTCGGAACTGTAAATCTCTTTTCCTCGGAAAAAGGTTTAAATAAAGTTATAAGACGCCTGTTAACCTTTAGGACTTGGATGTCGACTTTGGCCTTCAACATTTTAAACTGTGTTTATTTGTGAACGAAGGCGATGAAGAAACTACCTCGTAATCTTATCGAAGAGGATTCTAGTCAGTGTTTGGAAATTTTATCGTACACAGTTAAGAAGACGAAAATCGACTGGCAGAGATTCGAGATGTTTTGCCTAACAGAAAATGAGAAATTCCTTCGACAAATATCAGAAATATGATAACAAACCCTTGTAACAAACATACCTGTACCCGATCATCTTGACAAGCTTTTTTGTCATTTGCAGTGTTTTTTCAAAGACCAACGAAAGAAAGATAGAAGCGAGTTCGAGCCAGACACAATGTCCAGTTTTCAAAAGACTCACATTAACGAGTAAATACTTACAGTGCTCTTAGTTTTGGCCGAATAAACTTTAAATTGTAAACCCTGAAGACTGGGATGTTGACTTTGCCTTTCCAAATTTGTTTTAATGAGAACGAAGCGATCGCAACCTTACCGAGGAAGAGAATTCTAGTCAGTGTTTGAAAATTTTAAAGCAGATCACAATTGAAGACGAGAATGAACTGGCAGAAAGAGAGGTTTTCCCAAAAACAATTAACGAGTGAATCCTTCGACAATGACAACAAACTTACCTTGAAAAGATTCTTTGCCTTTTGCAGTGTTTTTTTTTACAAGGACAAACGGAGGCTACCCTGCGAGCAGAGGCTACATTTTCGCGGTATGAGCTGGCGTGCGAAAAGTTTTCGCACGCCAGCTCATACCGCGAAAATGTAGCCTCTGCTCTCAGGGTAGACGGAGGCAAGATGGAAAAGACTTCTAGACAGACACAGTGTCCGGTTTCCAAAATACTCCAGCGTTACATTAAAGAGCTAAAACTTACAGTGCTCTTAGTTTTGACCGAATAAACTCTTTCACTGACATAGCGAATTTGTTTTTACTTTCTCGGAAAGCCTTTGTTATGTGCTATTGTTTTCGTGCGCCAATAAAAACTTTCTTTTTTGACACCTGTCAAATGGCTGTCAAATCGTGCGTGCTGCACTTGTTTCCGGTCCCCCAAACAGGAAGAAGCCATATAATAAACATCTTATTAGCCTCGTTTTTTCGGTCCGTACTGTAAATTACGGATCCTCGTTTTTTTTCCATCGATTTAAAACTCGGTCCGTAATTTACAGTACGGACCGAAAACTCGGCTAATAAGAGGTATGTATTTCATATGCCAATCTTTGAGACCAAAGACATTAGATCAAATATAGATACAATCTAAGGAAATCCATGATTAAAACTAAAACTCAAAGAGCGTGGCGCCATACAGAAATCGAGTGGTCTCGAGTGTAATTCTCAATAGGTGCTTATCAACAAAAACAGAGTTGTTTTGTAGGAGGAGATAACCTGGTGAGAGCTTACAGATTACACTGTAAAAAGTAGCTTAACTTGTATAAAAAGTGGTAGCTTTTAGTGACTGTGCGGCTTTGACAGCGACAGAGCACGGTCGGTAAGACAACCCTGCATAGTCGATATGACCACTTTGTTGGTCAAAAGTCTTGCAGTGTGCTCAGAGTGGCCGGCATCAATTACGCAGATTTGACTCCGGTAATTTAAGATCTATATGAATCTACACAAAATAACATATCCTATTTATAGGACCCCGGCGTAGGTTAACTGGTTCGTGGGTCAAGCGAACAAAACCGAACTGATTATCTACGTAAGCATACTGGAATTTTTGTTTATTATTATACTACTACATGATAAATTTCTGCAATTCGATTGGCTTAGAGCAGTGGTATTTCAGCTTAATTTGAAACACCTACTTGTGAAAATTACAAACCTTTTGCGGGTAGTAGTATAAACAAATAATAGCATGATTTGTACGTGA